ATAGTCAACAGCTTCTCTTGTTTCTTGAATTCAGCCTTTAACTCTTAAAGGCTGCAAAGGCTCAGTGACTGCCAGTTTATGTGAGTTTCTATGAGTATCTTCACATGTGCAAATGTGCACCATACATACATCCACAGACACATACTGATACATGTATACTTTAGAATCATCAGATGAACTACTTTCACAGGTACAAGGTTGACTCAGGCATCTGGATCTCCAAGGAGGCGCTCATAGGTGTCTGAACAATTTTGTTGGGATGGTCCATGCAGAATGGCGTAGGAAGTCTTGATCTCTCCAGGTTATTCCGACATCTTGATGACCAGTACTCTGGTTCTTACTACACTCAAGAGAATTTTGACCTGATAGTAACTGCTACCCTTATATGGGGTTTAGGGCAATGCCAAGCCTTTGTTCTCTAAACCATTCCACCTTCAAAGATGTTTCTATCTCATCGGGTCCTATACAACTTTTGTAAAAGATATCAGTGGTGAACTTCTTTTGTGATAGATTTTTTTTTCCTTCCTGTATTAAGAACTATATTTATACCTCTTAAAAAAAATTCGAAGTTCTTCAGTCTGGTTCGCCTCTTTCTTTCTCTCTGCTCCTATTGTTGCTTTACACCCAATACTTTCCCAAGAATCCGTGTGCTTCCGCTAGAAGACCACAGTTCAGCAAAGACTGGCTCCGAATGAAGTCTGCACTCTCTAAGGTCTCTCCCTCTGCTTTGGGGAGCCCTTTAGTTAGACAACCTGCTGGGTTCTGCTGTGGAATTGTGCACAGGGCACTGCGCTGCCACTGTTGTCATTTTGACACTACAATTACAGAGTAGTTCTGCACCTGGCAGATCAGTGTGGCTGCCAAACACATTTGAGCTCGAGATAAATTTTTTAAACACCAGTACAGGGTGTGTGAGAGGACACCCAGCTAGCTTAAAGAGATGTGGGGCAGGGTTGTCTAGGTAATTGGTTACTGTCGAGTTTGCCAGAGATGACAGATAACTCCTGGGACGGAACACCTAGGACACTCCTTTGAAAGTCAGGCAGCTAAGAGGCTGTTTGGTTTCTTCAGTGCTGGCGACCCACTTGGGTGATGTGGTGGCTCATCAGACATTTAATACTAGGGAAACTGCAGGTGCCACGATGGCCACTGTTGTACCTGGCAGTCCTGCGTCTACAAAGATGGGTTGTCCAGACTTGTTTTTGGAAAGAGAAGCCAGTGGATGAAAGGTGCCAATAGTCAATCACAAATAGGTGGTCAAGTTATCATCAGTCAATTATTTGTCTCCCTATTGCTTAATAATGGATGTCTCTGGAGTCAGGACTAAACTTTTGGTGAGACTGGGATTGCTGTTTTTAAGAGACACAAATGCAGTTGAAAGGACTTCCTTTCAAGCCAGATATGGCACACACAACGATGGGGTCCTGACCAGTGCCTGAGAGACCTTGTCACTAGGAACTTGACTGTCTTGATCTTTTTCTCTGCCTCTGTTAATACAAAATCCTCAGCAAGAGTGGATAAATTCGAATGGGCCTGAATAAGACATTTGGTCTGACAAGAAAACACATTGGCCGTTGAAATACTAAAACAGTAAGCTAAAAACTGGCTCCAATTAAAGATACCAAGGAAAGAGGCTTATACTGGGTCTACCCCTATACGTTTGTTTTTGAAAAGAAAAGAGAATACCACCAATCTTGAGTGAATCAGGAATCTACTTGCCTGGGGGCAGGGGTTTAAAACTAGTTAGGACATGGCATTCTGTAGACATAGACTTCTGTGAGTACTTGAAGGGGGTGAGAGACTGATCTTATTACCCAAAAAAGGCTCAGGCTCTGTTAGCCCAGCAGATCTGAGGGCCTTACAAAAGAAACTAGGCCCCCTGGGGAAGCTCAGGGACCTTGATCAACAATCTTCCACTCTAATGCCTGGTTCACACCCCTAATCTGTCCTAAAGTTCCCCATTCAAGCAGAACCAATAAAGGATTGTGGGGGGAGGGAAGGGGGAGAGAGAAAGAATGGGGGAAAGAGGCAGAGACAGTGGAGATGGGAAATCTAGTTTTAGTCTCCAGAACACTTCCTATTTGTCAGCTCCTTTCATATGCATTTCTCCAGTTCTGGGGAGGGGTAAGCATGGCTGGGCCAAGAGATGAAGCAGCCACAGGGATGCTGGCAAGGGATCTACCTAAAAATTCTCATTAGCAGCAGCTCTATTTCCCCCTGGCTTCAAATCAGGGCCAACTGAGGAGGGAAGGACATGTTTCCAAGTGGTCAAGCTGGGCTCAAGTGTCCACTGATATGCTCCAGTGAGGACTCCCAGCCAGGGCCTGCACCTTTTTCCTCCATGTTAATTCTAGTCAAGGTTCCACGGGATGGTGACAATATAAAATGTGTTAAAAGCATCACATTGCACTCCTCCTATTTGGGAAGCACAGCAGAATAGTGTGCTTGTCTTCCAGGCCCTTGGAAAAGGTCCCTAGGCTATTCCAAGTCCACAGGGAGCAGGAGGAGTTTATTCATAAATATCCTTCTTGGGTTTTCAGTGACACTTTGCTGAGTCCTATCTGGATTTTTCCCAGTCTTATTCCTTGCTCCCTGACCTGTCGTAGTGTCCCAACTGCTGCTGGGGGAGCTCCTGGGTGGTCGCTGTGTTACCCACAAACTGAGTCATGATGGCAAACTCCCAGTAACTTGGAAACCAGCTACAAACTTCTAACCGCACATTCTCCAATGCTCTTTGGAGTTTTTCCCTTTGTGTGAGGTTACAGGAAATCTGAGATGAACAGGAAGGGCATGAACATGTCCAGGGAAAGGGGAAGCCACAGTATTATGAGAACAAAAGATCCTAAGAAGCCAGTTTTCCTCAGAACTTGGACACACACAACATTTACAAATTCGCTTGGCTTCACTCATAAAGTCTTAGAAGATGTGCAGAAAAAGATGTACGCAATTATCCTATATCCGTCTGTCCTGATATCCTGGGGTACCAAGAAACACACCTGAGAAGAAAAATGAAAAAAATAATCTAAGCCCTGGTCCCCTAAGCTGAGTAGGAGCAGGAGTTCTTGGCAAGATTCTTTGCCTGAAGATGCTCTTTCCATCGCCAAACCCAAAGCCCAAGAAATGCTCAAAACCACCTCTGGATAAAGAAGACTGGTGGGCATAACATCGATGTGTTATGTCCACTGACAAGAGCCAGCAGAGTGCGTACAGAAATACTTTTTCCTTCCTCAAGGCCAGGGAGGGGTGACCTTGACTCCCTTCGACAAGACTAATTTTCCTTCTTATACACACTTGTTCAGCAATTAAAGCTTAAAATGTGTGGGGCAACTAGCTTCAAGAATATCAAATATAAAACTTTGCCATATAGTATTTCAAATCACTCTATTTACAGTTTTATCTTTTCAAAAAAAAATGTAAAAGATACAGTAATCCAACACAATTCAAGTTTTTCTTTTCTTCTTTCAACTTTCCTAAAAAGGAATTCCAGGAGCAGGGCACACTCTGAAACGTGGCTGCCTTCGGAGAGGTCCAGGAGCCTGACAGTCCATCAGTCTAGAGTTTGTCTGCCCAGAGCCATGCTTACAAGGACATTCAAGTGTGGAAGGTCCTGGGGACTCTGTCCTTTGGAGGCCAAGTGAATCTGAGTGTCCAGGCCGAACTTCTCCTCTCAACATCCAGCCCCTTGGGGACCAGGAAATGCCCTTTCTATGCTTCAAGCTTTTGGTGTCCTCCTGAATCACAATGGCTCATGACATTAGTCTCATGCCTCAAAAGCCTGAGAAATAATTCCCTTTTTCTGAGAGGCAGTGAACATATATGTCCTTTTAAACCATAGACCATAGGGCTAGCCTAGGAACCAGCCCTATAAACCACTAGGGCATCTGAAAACTGCCAGGGATGGTCAGTGATGGGATAGAGGCCAGACGAGGGCAGGGGCAAGGACAGGTAAACGGGAGGCCATTAGGGACTGAGGCAGGAAAGGGAGGGTGTCACCCATGGGGAGGCGGCATATTGCCCTCTAGGAAGCAAACACCAGTTGCATGGAAGACAAGAATTTTTAAGCCTAGATGTAATTTAATCTCAAGAGGTTACTAGAGTTTACTCCAAATATATCCTGATGCTGCCGAAATAAATCAGAAAGGAAACAGTTCCCAGTTGCTATTCTTTCTGTCTGCCCTCAGCAGACCATGCTCATTTCTTGATCTTTTGCGCCAGGTTATTGGAAAATCATTCAAAAAACCACACAAAAGGGGGAAGAAAAAAAATATGTGATGCAAAGAGAGGGTGTTTTTTTTTTTTTGGTTTGGTTTAGAGTAGATTGGGTTGCCATGGTTACGAGGCGATGGCAGCCCTCAGTGGCAGAGAAGTTCCTAGCATGGGAGGAGGGGAATGTGGGGTGTGTGTGCTCCCTTGCATGAGGACTGGACTGAATTCTGCTGATGCTGGGCCAAGGCTGTTTTAGAGATGGTGAGAGATTGGATCTTATGTAAACAGTGCTGTAAGCCCTCTCCATCCTGCATGCAAACAAATAGCCCCAGCTGTTGGAGCCCTGTGGGTCTCAAGGATGGAGAGGTGGGTGAGAGCGTTTTCTGTAAACAAGAGCAATGGCCTAGCCTGGATCTCGTAGCCCTGACCCAGCCCTACATGCTCTAAAGGATCTTCCACTTTCAGAAGGCTGGGAATTTGGGTGACTGTTGAGACAAAAGGAGTGCTCCCCATTTGAGGGCTGAATGGGAGAGACGGCTGGGCCAGTCTTTCTCTTGGTTTTCAAGATCAAATGGCCTCCCCTGATTTACTTGTTTCTTGCAAGGACATCACAGGTCAGCTGAGATGATCGTGGGAATGGGTGACACCAAAGTTCACACAAACACTGGTGTTGACAGGGAGCAGCAGAGTCAGTCACCCTGCACTTCTTGGCAGCAGAGAAATGGCCTGCAACACTGGACTCAGCAGTTGTCATGGATACCATGGAAAGCTCAGCAGTTCTGCTGGGCCCACGGTTAGAGGAACTCCACATAGTTCTCGGGAATGAGGCCCGTCTTTCCATTCAGAGTCCCCTCCAACCAGCCTGGCTCTTGAGACGGGTGAACTGTAACAGGAAGGGGAGAGAGCAAGAAGACATGACGTTACAGATAGGGTAGGAAGGGGATGTGTGCTGTTTCTCTGCGGATGTGAAGGTGAAGGAAGTTTGCTCAGTAAGTTACATAATCCAGGGACTTGCTTAAACCAGAGCTTCTGAACCTTTTGTAGGACATAAGCCTTCTGATGATGGCTATTCTGGACTTCTTTCACAACAATAAAATGGAACAGAGACAGACATTACATATTCTGCATATAATTTTAAGGATTTCATAGACTTCCTGAAGGTCCTGGTTTGAAGTTTAAAAAAAGGGACAAATGTTAGGTTAGAAGTCACAGTTATGGTACTCCATCTGTATATTCATTTATGTATCCGTCCATCTGTCCATCCATCCACCCATCCATCCATCCATGTACTTATCTAGCTACCTAGTTTTGATCATGCGCCAAAGAGTGGTCATCTAGTAAAGGATTGCTAAGAACTAGCCTTTAAAGATAACTAGCTTCTAATCATACATTTGACCCTCGCCTTCTGCTTCTAATTTCCTTGAAAATTCCCTCTGCAGTCTTTTTGTTTGTCTTTGCATTTTATAGTCTTTCAATAGCCTTCTCTCTGTTCCACCCATACCCTTTCTTAGCTTTCTTTCCTGTTCTCTAGAATGTTCGTCCCTTCTGTAAACAAGTCTGAAAGTGGTCCTCTTCCTCTCTCTGACAACTTTCAAAATGTCTGTCTCTCTGGTGTTTCAATATCCAAAGAATATATACCCACTTCTGTGACATTATAATTCATCTCCATGGAAACTACTGTGGTATTTCAAAGATTATATAAAATCCAGCTGAGTCTGCAAAGTAGTCAAAGTAGGAAGAGAGAAAGAAGGAACTGTGGGACTTGCCGGGAGTGGGGGTGTTCATGTTTATGAGCTGGGAATATACAAACCACTTGGGTGAGGCAGGGCATCTGCTATTAATGGACTAGGAAAACTTCAATTATCCGAGATTGTTTGGAGAGAATAAATTTTCCCCTATTCCCTTCCTAGGCTAATTAAGTGACTTCCTGTGCTTGTTTTAGAAAAGCATTACTGCCAATGCCACTATACAAATCTAGCTTCAGCCTGTAGGGAAAGAAGCAGTAAGGGGAGTAAATGCGGAAGCAGAAGGATGCACACTGAGGCTTACAGAGCATGGTCAACCTTGTCTAGATCAAGAACGTTCCTGCAGGAAAAGACAAGGCCAAATATCTATGATGTGGCCTTCAAAATGCACACATCATTTCCTCTCATTGGGCTTCAGGAATAAACCAAAAGTAACAAGGGTACTTTGTGGATTCATGAACCCCACATGAGGAAAAAATCTGGGAAAGCAATGTCTAGGAAGAACATAACACAGCTGAAAATCAACTTACTAGCCACTCCAATGGCCAACCTCTTTCATCTGCCCCTATAATACCAGCATCCCTGCCTTCCACCTATCCATCCAACTGATGTTGCCAGGACCGTTTCTGCTTCTGCACTTATTAAGTGGTAATAATAAAACTCTCTCCCCTCAGTCAGCTCTTGTGAGGGTTCCACATGGAGAAAGCACTCCACAGAATCAGGACACAGGAAATGTTCAGTATGGGTTAGTCAGTAGGGGCCCTGTGTCATCCTGCCAGCCACCTGGACAGGACAGTAAGCATCTCTCCTGGTGAAAACTGGTGTAAACATCCACCTAAGCTTTGGGAAACCTCAAATGCTTAGATCCCCAAACAAACAAATCAAACTCACTCCCCCAAATAAAAGACCTAGAAAGAATAACCAACCAACCAACCAACCAAACAAACAAACAAACAGAAGAAAGATACGAGAAAGACACCCCTCCCACGTTGTAGCAGAGCTCCCAATGAGTTGCTACTCCACTGGAAGCATGAGTCCGTGTCTTTCAGACAGTTTCCAGGTCTGTCAGCTGTGCAAACACAGCTCAGGTGCTGAGGTGGCAGTGTCTGTAAACATTAGGCATGGAATTTGCAGAGCAAGGGAAGAATCAGGGGACAAAGGAGGTCTTCCAAATTGGAGAACAAGAGGGGTGTTACAAGGGGCTGCAGGGAACAATTCAGCCTTTGGGTCAGGCTGCTGCCTCACTGGAGTCTTCAAAATAGGTTTGATTAAAGGGGGGAACCAACCCCGATGCTTATTAAGACTGCAGGTCCCTAGGCCCCATGGTGCATCAGTTCAAGCAGAATCTAAGGAGTGGGGACTAGAAACCTTTATTTTTAACTAATTCAAAGAAAGTTAAGGGTTATAGCTTTTCTGTACCACAATGCCTCTGTAATGAGGGTGGCAATAAGAACTGAAATGCAAATTTTCATTAAGTCACCGAGGAGGGAGACTGCACCAGATCCCCACCCCTCCTCTTCTTCCCTAACTAGTATTATATCATTCAACATTTGTCATTCCTCCTCTGTGCCTCATGAATTTAAAATGATAGAAGCTACCACCTAGAAATGGTGACTGGGAAACAGCCATGGGCTCAAAGCTTTAGGTATCTCTTGACTCATTTGACCTAAAATTTCCCTACTTAACAGATGAGGAAATGAAGGCTCAGAGAAGTAAGTTAACTTGTGCAGGGTCACAATGGTAGAGCCAGAATTTGAACCCAGCTTGTTTGACTCCAGAGCCTAAGCCCTGTTCTACAATGGCATGCCTATATTCTACCAGAGAATGTAGTTCTTGAGGATGAGAATGATGGTACATATGTGGAGCACATACAAAGTCAAGCATGTGCTTGAGCCGTGAGTTTGACATGAGTGTACGAAGTGGAGGGTCTTTTTCTAAGCGCTTGGCCAGCATCACCCACTTTCATTTTCAGAATGACTACAGAGAAGGTTCTATTATTATCCTCATTTTACTGATAAGAAACTGAGGTTCAGAGAGGTTAAGCATCTTGACCCAAATTACACAGCTGGTAGATGATGGAGGTGGATCTAAAGCTAGAATGTGTGACCCCAGAGTCTGTGGTCTTAACCACGACCACTCTGGCTCAACCCAAGGCTTTGGACCTCAAAGATGCTCATAAGTACTTGTTGGGCTGAACTATATGCCAGTGTCCAGCCTTCTGAATTGCACCAGTGTCCAATGTGCTATGTAAACACACACGATGCTGTGTAGAGCTGCCTGGGCAGCACTCCAGCCCAGCAAGCATATAATAAATATACGCTGCTGCTGACATGGGTGCACTTCCTGCCAACCACTTTTTCTCAGCTCTATCCATATAACACCACACACCCCTGTATATACAGCTCATGTTCTCTCCCCTCGTTTGCTCACAGTGGACAAGGTGCAAGTGTGTGACTAAGACCCTTAATGGCCAGCTGCCCCATGGAGAAGCAGCACCGACTGGAAGAGGCACTGTGGAGTTTGGATGCATTTACTCATTTAACAAGTGTTTGTTAAGCACCTACCAGTGCCAGACAGTTCACATATTACAGAGCAAGCAGACAAGATTCTGCTCTTGGGGGAGGCGTAATTTGCAAATCAACCGAACAGCAGAACGAGCGGTCACTATGATACACACTGACTACCAGGGGCAAACATTCAATGTAGGAGCTGCCCCCGGTGGTCAGTGCACTTCCACAGGGGGGGTGCTGCTCAGCCAGAAGCCGGGCTCATGGCTGGTGAGCGCAGCAGCAGTAGCAGGAGCCTCTCCTGCCTCCGTGGCAGTTGGACATCTCCTAAGGGCTCCCAGACTGCAGGAGGGTGTAGGCCAAGCTGAGGATCCCCCTATTATCTCCCCAAGTGCATGGGGCCTCTAGTCTATAGTAAATAAGAAAGAGATATGGGTAGCTGTGTTCAAGTAAAGTCTTATTTACAAAAACAGGCAGTGGGTTGGGTTTGACTGGCAGATTACAGTTGGCAGACCCCACCTGGGAACATAAAGGCTTGTGAGGCTGTAGTGTATATGGAAGGAGGGTCAGGAGGCCTGAGGGGCAGGCCCTAGACTGTGGAGGGCCTTGTCAATGATTCTCAGAGCAACGGGAGGTCCCTGGAGTATTTTAAGCAGGAGAATAATATGATGTGATTTCCATTTTCCAAAGGTCACCCTGGCTGCTGGGTGGAGAATGGGATGAGGGCAAGAGTGGACATGTTGAGGCCAGTTAGGCAGCCAGTGGAAACACCAGGCGAGAGAGAGAGAGAGAGAGAGAGAGGCAGCTTGGGTTTGGTAGCAGAAAGGGCTGGGAGGCTGGAGACTCCATAAAGGAACCCCCTGCAACCCTACTGCCCGAGCAGCTCGGCGGCTCTGATGAAATTCCCCACCAGCCAAGGGGACCTGGGGCAGCCCTGACTATACTCACATTGCACCCTGGACTCTGGAAACAAATGGATCCAGTCCATCTCCAATCTTGAAAAGAATTCAATTTTAGTGAACACCATGTGACTTTTCCAGGTATTGCTAATCACGTAGCTTCAAGGTGAATAATGTTCCTGAGAACACGAGTTATTTCTCTTTCCAGTTACTGTTGGAGGTGCCGGCTCCTGGGGAAGTGGGCAGTTTCCGGGTAGATGGCAAGGGCTGCCATGGAGTTATTTCCGAGTATTGCACATCCACTCCCAGGCACTGACTGCACAGCATGGGCCCCTGGAATCCAGCCTTGAAGATGAGTCACTACGGAACACCAGACTGTCCCCTCTTCCCCTCCTTATTTATTCTTCTTGGTCCTGAAAACACACACACTCACGGACTCCAACCCTGTCATTAGGAAACTTTCTTCGAATTGGACTGCTAACTTCATCTAACAGCTGCAGAGCATTCTACACAAACAGTCCTTGCCTGTATCTCCAGCACTAAATTAACGAGACAGAACAAAGAAAGAGATCTCCCTGCCAGACGTGTAAATAGGGGTTTTCCTCCTCTACTGCCTGTGAAGGGAAGGGGAAAACAGAGGATATGTAGCATTTCCCCCAAATCAGACATAATAAAATGCTATCAGCCAAACCAGTCCATAAAGTGGAGCAACATTTAGTCAGATCCTTCCACTGCAGCTTGAACTATAAACACTGAAAGGTGTCTTCTGGGCTGAATCTGGACTTTTGCCCTTCAGGGAATTGGAAAGGTCACTGGCATTGCTGATTAAAAACAAACGAGTGTCAGTGACCTCTGCCACGACTCCCAGAGGCCCCGGAGGCTTGGGCAATTGGGCAATGCAGCTTCTTAAACCAGGCCTCCCTCGTGCTCATTTGGCAGGACGGGTCTGTGATGACTACGCGTGTGGGGTGGGAGAATCCCAGGGCTGCAGGCAGAGCACCCAGATGGGGAGGAAAGGACCTGGCAGTTAAAATTACCTACTTATCTTTTCTTTTTCTTTTTGTGGTTAGCTCTTTAAACTACTTCAAACAGAAGACTTAAAAACAAATGGTAGGAATGTAAAATGCTGCATCCCTTTTGTAAAACAGTTTGGCAGCTTCTTAACCAGTTAAACATAGTTACTGTAGGACTCAGCAACCCCATTCCTGGGTATATCACCAAAATGGAAAATACATGTCCTCACAAAGACTTGTACATGAATGTTTATAGCGGCCAAAAGTGAAAATAATAAAAATGTCCATCCACTGACAAAGGGATTAATCAAATGTGATATATTCATACACTGGAACATTATTCAGCAATAAGAAGGAATGAAGTTCTGACACATGATACAACATGGATGAACCTTGAAAAGATGCTAAGTGAAAGAAGCCAGCTAGAAAGGCTACATACTGTGTAATTCCACTTATATGAATTATCCAAGCAGGCAAATTTATGGTGACAGAAAGAATAGTGGTTACCTAGGCTGGACGGGGTAGGGTTAGAGGTACCTGGGGCTTGACTGCTAACGTGTACAGGATTTCTTTTGGGGGGTAATGAATATATTCTGGAATTAGACAGTGGGTATGGTTGCACAACTCTGAATATATATATTAAAAAACAATCAAACCACCAAGTTGTACATTTAAATGGGTACCTTTTATGGATTGTGAATATCTCAACATCAAAAGTTTTAAAAAATGGAAGAAGGCTTACACTCGAGAAAAGGAGTCACAAATCTCACACACACACACACACACACACACACACACACACACACACACACACCTTTGGGAGCTTAGACCAATTCTGTCCCTGCACTCAGGGGTCCTCTGTGTTGTCAGAGTGAACAGCTGGTAAGACCATGGCAAGTCCCTTGCCCAGGGGGACAGTGAAGTGGGGTTTAGAGGACAGATCTTAAAACTGAATTCACCAGTGAAGGTGGGGCTCTCTCAAATCCTGGGACTCTATGGGCAGCCCCTCCCCTGCAGAGCAGGACACAGAATCCTGTATGCAGACCACTCTGGTTTGTCTGCTGTGGCAGCTGTGTTGTGTGATGGCTGGGCTGTGACTCGGTCATGTGGGCCTGTTCAGGGAACACTCACCAACAACATGGCTTTGGACAGCCCTCTGAGGACCCACTCTCCTGTAGGTCTTTTGGGGCCTGAAAGCCCCAGCTGCTCATGGGGGTGCTGGCTGTGAGCTCTGACTTGCAAAGGGCCCATGAAAATGGAGCAAAGGTTTAAGGACAGTGCTTTCGGGGCTCTGAGGACCATCAAAGAGGACACAAGCCCTGCAGGCCATGTGCAGTTATGGGCTCACACCGAGCCCTGCTGGCTGAGAAGGTCCAGTGTTAGGCGTGAGCTGGGAACTCCCAGGCGCCCTGTGTGCCTGCTCAGAATCCCTGCCATGATGAGCGCAAGGACCATGCACCTGGAGCAGCCCCTTGGCATACAGATGCAGTCAAGGCTGGTCCCAGGAGCCCATCTCTGATCTGGCTTGGACCTGGAGTCCCTAACACAGAGCCAGGGCCCAGGAGTCAAGGTGATTACCTCCTACCCAGCGAGATCCAGGCCTGAGTCCTACCAGCTGTAAAGGAAAGACCATCACCAAGAACTATGACAGCGTCAGGGTCTTGTCTAAGATGGATGGAATGATGACAATAATCACAACAATAATGTATTGAATACTGAGTACGTGTTGAGACCTATTTTACATATGTGATGTGCATATCTCAATTTTCTCACAATCCTCTGTTCTCTGCTTGAAGTCACATAGCTAGGACTTGAGCTGGAGTGGCCTGAATCTAGAGTTCCTGTTCTCCAGTGTTACCTGTGAGCCTTGGCTGCCCTGTACAGAATTCTGGGTCTCAGGCAGGCAGTAGGAGGGATGGTCTATGACCCTGTGCCGAGATTGCCCATATGGGCTGACTACACATTTTTTTAAAATATATTTTTATTGATTTCAGTGAGGAGGTGAGAGGGAGAGAGAGAGAGATATCAATGATGAGGAAGAATAATTGATTGCTGCCTCCTGCACCTTCCCCTTACCCCCACTGGGGATCAAGCCTGCAATCCAGGCATGTGCCCTAACCAGAATCGAACCGGGGACCCTTCAGTCTGAAGGCCCACTGCTACTCTCATTTTGGGAAAGGACACACAAACACAGTCATTTTCAGTCTTATCTATTCAACTGAGATTTTCCTTAGGCAGGGACTTAGAAAACTCCAGTTTCTTATTTGCTGCCCCCATCTTTGTGAGGGACAAGAAAACTCACCATTATCGAAGACCGTGCCTGCGGTGAAGGAGAGCTCTGAGTCGTGCTCAGCTTTGCAGGCATACAAGGCTTTTGCCTTCCGGAACGGGGTGCTGTGTGAAGACAAACGTTTAGTTAGCAATGTTTAAAAACCCTCTGAAAGCTCCAGATACTTCTCCTTGCTTCTTCCCCTACACTGTGAGCCACCTGGTCCTCTGGGGTGGGAAGAGCCTAACCACGTAGCCAGTGGGGACAACATGAGGTGGAAAAGTTGCAAAGGTCACCAGGAGAAAAAAAGAAAGAGAGAGAGAGAGAGAGAGAGAGAGAGAGAGAGAGAGAGAGAGAGAGAGAGAGAGAGAGAGAGAGAGACAGACATTCAGAGAAAAGCCATGAATCTTGAGAAACTGAACTTCTTGTGGGGTGACCTTGTGCCAAGTTAAAACTTGACCTAGCAGTTACAGCAGCGGAACAGTGGGAGGGCAGGCTGGAGAGGAGGGAAGAAGGGTGGAGAGGACTTCCAGAGTGCACAGAGAACACTCCCAGCAGAGCCTGCTGAGAGCGGGCAGTGCTCAGTGAGTCAAAAAGAAGAAATTCCAGCAAAGCCAGGTTTCCACTCTGGGCCACAGGCTGACATCAGCTTCTCCAAATGTTACTGATTTCTCATGGGGCTGGTGGAGCAGGATTCCAGAGCTGGAACTCCCTGACCGCCAGGGAGGGCAGGGAATAGACAAGGTATGCCTGTGAGTGGTTACACATGTGAGCATGTGTGGGCAGAAGGGAGCGGGGGGGGGGGGGGGCACAATGCATTTTTCCCTCCTTCTCATGTCCATGAATGTTGACAACCGCTCTCATAGTGTCTCAAAATCACCTGGGGAGCTTTTAAAAAACTGCAGATGGCTGGGTTCTAGCCTGGCTTACAGATATGAATAGAGAGGCATCAGGATTTTAAAAAGGTCTCCAAGGGACTCTGGTGTGCAACAGGGCTGAGAACCACTGTTCTAGAGTTGGGGTGGGCAAACTTTTTCTGTAAAGGGAAATGTTTTAGGCTTTGTGGGCCATATGGTCTCTGGTATAATTACTCAACTCTGCATTGTAGCCCGGAAGCAGCCATAGACAGCCTGTAAGCAAGTATGTGTGGCTGGGCTTCATCAAACGCTGACTACAAAAAACAGGTGGTGGGCCAGATTGGACCCACGGACCACAGAATGCGAACTCGTGTTCCAGAGAGTAAACTGTGAAAACAGGTAAATCCTATTAAGTTCTATAAAATTCTGCTTTGACATCCAACTAGTTCCAAATGATCTATGGAATTCTCAGGGTCATAAGAAAAATTATATTTAACAGCCAAGTTGGCTTTTTATTTGATAAAAGCAATTTCCTCCTCCCTCCAAGCCCTCTGAGGAAGCTCATGTAGGAGTTCCAGAGCAGAATAGCAAACCAAACATAGGTGCTCTGGGTGAGACAATTCCTGGAGGTATATTCAGTATTATTTTATCTTCATGTGATTCATGGGCAGCCGCAAGGAGCCAGTGGTGCTAAGCCTCCCATGTGCACCGATTTCTAGGGACCAAATGAGATTTAGCTGAGGAATGGCTGGTGTCCGGTAAATCCAGACAGACTCCGAAGGGGTGGGGCATGGTGGGTCATTCCGGAATTGTTATTTCCTGGAATCACCAAGACAGCTTCCCTTTGGGAAAGAGAAGCCCTGGATGGTTGGACACCCATCCCAGGGCCAGGCATCTGGAACTTCTAGTCTGGGCTCCTTGAAAACGGAAGGAAAGAGGGCTGAAAAGGTCTACTGGGCAGAATGATAAGAGTAAATGACTATCCAGAATTTGTTGCCTTGGTGCAGTTTACTGCATTCTCTCTGGTCTTCTAGTAGCCACGAGATGATGGCCAGGTGGGAGAAAATAGGGAAATTCAGGAAAAAAAGGAAGTGGGACCTCTAGGAATGAGGGAAAGAACAGCCTTTAGAATTCATCAGCTTCAATGGAAAAGAGTTCTTTCTGGGTAATTACCATTAACCAGAATAAAGCTCAGAACGAGGGGCACATTCTGTGAGATAACTAAACCCAGTCAGTGTATTGACCATCAAGGGCCAACTATCCCACGTGCAACTTTCCAGGAAGGAAAACTAGTTTTGGTTTTCTTTTTTCTTTTCCTTCCTTCCTTCCTTCCTTCCTTCCTTCCTTCCTTCCTTCCTTCCTTCCTTCCTTCCTTCCTTCCTTCCTTCCTTCCTTCTTTCCTTCCTTCCTTCCTTCCTTCCTTCCTTCCTTCCTTCCTTCCTTCCTTCCTTCCTTCCTTCCTTCCTTCCTTCCTTCCTTCCTTCCTTCTTTCCTTCCTTCCTTCCTGGGAGTCCTTCCTTCCTTCCTGGGAGTGGGGAGTAGAGAGAAGTCACCTGGCTGTGAAAAATGCTAAATCACCTAATCCCTATACTGACAAGTAGAGCCCTTTGTGACTTGGAAGGTGGAAGGAGAACTCAGTGGACATTAGCCAGGTCACTGCACCCTGAGGACAGGGCAGAGCAGGTGAGGAGAGCCCCAAGAGACTGAGAACAGGGAAATAAAAGGTGAGGGAAAGATCAGCTGAGGCCAGGGCCCTTCAGCTGAATTTTCATAGTGGTTACTTATTAATCTCATTAAATAAAGGGAATGGGAACAAATAGGGGCAAGCCAGGGAAACCAACTGGGATATCTGGCAGGAGGAAAGCTGAGGGTAAAGTGCCCAATTATTAGGCTTTTGGAATTGAATAGTGAAGTGACAATGAAATAGAACAATAAAAATAAACACAGCTCTGGCCGGTGTGAATCAGTCGGTTGGAGCGTTGTCCTAAGAAATGAAAGAAAGGTGTCAGGTTTGATTCCCAATCAGGGCACATACCTAGGTTGCAGGTTCGATCCCCGGTCAGGGTACATTCAGAAGGCAACCTATCCATGTTTCTCTTTCACATCGATGCTTCTCTCTCTCTCTAAACATCAATGAGCGGGCCCTCCTCAGGTGAGAATTAAAAAAAAATAATCGTAAAAAATAAATAAATAAATAAATAAATAAATAAAAACAAAGGTCAGGAAAGGGCCTTGCTTTTCCTTCAAATTAATAGGTGACTGATGGTCTGTGAGAAGTTCTCTTCCCCTGTGACTTATCCCGTCCCCTCGGGACATGCACAGAGATGGGAGGAATGGCAGAAGGAGACCACCTCCATTCTCCAGGACAAGGGCTGCCAAGTAAAATATAAGATACCTAGACAACTTTGGATTTCAGGTCAATAAGGGATACTTTCTAGTATAAGTATATCCCAAATATTTCAGGAGACATACTTACACTAAAAAACAAACCAACAAACCAACAAACCAACAAACCAACAAAAAAAAAAACCACAAACAAAAAATCTTTTGTTGTTTATCTACAATCCAAATGTAACTGGGTATTCATTTTATTGGCTGAATCTGGCAACTTTACCCAGAAAAGAGTCTTATCGTTTTTAAAAGTGTGTCAGCTCAGCAAGTCCAGTGTCCCATGCCATATTCCCTGCAAAAGCCTTGAGCAGTTTGCTTTAGGTAGGGTTCCTACCCAAACAGCTCCTGTTGGCACAGAGGCAGTGTTTGCAGGAGTTGGCGCTGAGCAAAAAAATAAAAAATCCCCAGCAAGCATCTTTGGTTCTTTGGCTCCCTCTTCTCCACTGTGCCTCTCAGCACTGAACATAGAGAGTGTGGGGTGCCTCCGGCTGCTCCTGTAACAGCGCCCTTCAGATCTTAGCTGGGCCTTCAAGGGCATGAACAAGTTTGGAACCCTTTGCCAGTTTATTTTTCATTTTTTGCCTCTGAGCATGGCACCAAGCCAGGAAAGCACTCAGAGGAGTTTTCCTCAAATGCCCTTGCCAGCCTATCAAAATGAAGACCCACTCTCCATGGTATGGCATGACAGGGAGGTGGGGCCTGATAGATTGGCAGGATACAATGGCTTAATCACTTAGGTACCATTTCCAGAGGCCCCTGTGCAAATGCAAGTTATGGGCTTGGGGCTGGGTGCTTTTCTGGGGTTACGAATGAAAAGCAGCCACGTTTCTGAGCTTGAACTAACAAGCACTAAAGTTGCTTTGAAGAGGGGAGAGGAAGCCACTTCTAGGCGAGACTATGTAGACATTTAGGAGACCATTAATTAGGTGTAATAAAGTACTTATTTTTATCTTCTCTCCTAGGAAAGGAAATCTGAAGTTCACATTCTGGAAGTAGATTTGGGGGAAGGCCCCATTGGACCTGAATAATAGGTATACACCCCAGATCTTAGCTCTATATTGCTACGGCCGTTATGGGATTTTACCCCTCTTTGTTGGCAAGCTCTGATGTGCTAGCTCCCTACTACTGTCCATATCCGTGCTCACCTTGGCATACCAGTACATATTTAGCTCAGTGAAAGCTAACTGTAAGCTGTACTCAGCATTGCATATATCAAAATGGTAGCTTCCTACAGGGTTGTGGAACAGTATCTTCAAATGGTGCTGCTCTAACCATGGCCCGTAAAGGCAGTGCTGAGTAACCATGACCCCAAACACAGCAGTGAGAAGCTTCTATTGCTCAGTCCTCTGCCAAAGCTCAGAGACACACACAAAAGAAGTGAATAATCTCAAAGCAGAGAGTATATTTCAGCTTTTTAGCTGAATGATTCTACTGTCCTGAGTCTCCTAATTTAACCTGTCCAAGGAGCCAGAGTCTTGAATTTTTACTCCTTTTTGATCAAAATGACCAAGTCTCTGTTATGAGTGAGGGAAACGTTTGGAAAGTAACTGTCTCTGGTCGCTGTGGTTTGCTCTGGTTCAGGTCCTCATGGATAATCAGTGATCTAATCAGATGCATTAATGCCATGTCTATCATATCTAGTGTCCTAGAAAGTTGACATTTCCCAAAGTGCCCAGAATGTGTCTAAGAAATAATTAGGAAATAACTTGAGTGTCAGGAAAATATGATTTGAATATTTACCTCATTCCTGGGTGAAGATAAAAGGATATACTGAAAAGTTATCTTTCTCATTCTGGGACAAAGCTAAGTAGAAACCCTCCAAGACCAGGACAGGCTCTGGGGCTGAAAGTTTCACAGAACCTTGAACTTGGGACCACCCATGTGTTTGACAGAAAGACTGCAGGGCTGAGGGCAGTAGTCCTGAATTCTGGATTGGCTCTAGGTTAGCCACGTGACTGTACAAATCACCTCTTTGTGCCTTAGTTTTCTCTCCCTGTCATAGGGTTCAAGGCATTTCTCCTCTCATTCTCATACAAGGATAGAATGAAATGATAGATATAAAAGTATGTGGAGGACAATAAAGTAATATATACACATCTGTGTATAAAGAGCATTGAGTTGTTGTTTTTCTAAGTGAGACTCATCTTTATAAATTATTTAAGCCTCTCTGTTGGACCTGCCCCTTAGGAAAAAATCAGCTAGGAGAAAAAGATGGATGAGAAAATACTGCCAAGGCCCAAAATGCTTATGAGGCTTATAATTGGGCTTTACATTTTGACTGTCGGACAGCAAAGACTAAGTTTGAGAAACACACATGGCCGAGGACCTATACAGTAGAGGGATCTTTCAGGGTTCTCATTAGTTAATTATTTTCCTGCAATTAAATAGCTTCTTTTCTCCAAAGAACTCAAGTGCAGAGAATTAAGTCTGGACATGACCAAAGTGAGGAAAACTATAGCATGGGCCTTGGGGAGAGGAACTAAGTCAATCCTCAGAAAGAGGTGTTGGCTGCTCCCATGAGAACTAACAGTTCATTGCACAGGGAGACAGGAGTAGGCTGGGAGCACTGACGATTCCTGGGAGTGCATGGAGGGAAGGAGCTGGCCATGAACAATTTAAAGAGAAATCACTTCATATTTGGGTTCCTTATTCTGGTTTATATTTATCTCTCTCCTAGTGGTCTGGTCTCAGCAATTAGGTGTCAGTACTCAGTGCCCACAAAGAAAAAAAATGTTGCCTGACGCTACCTAATAAAAATGAGGGAAGAAAAAGCCAGCACATGTCTTAGCACTGTTCCCTCTCAAATCATCTAATACCAAAGCACAAACAGCTCCATGACTCAGAGTGAGCCAAACAGAAACCCATTCAGGAGGCACTCTTTCCCCAAACTTCAAGCATCACAGATTATTTTTTAAAATATATTTTTATTGATTTCAGAGAGGAAGGGAGAGGGAGAGATAGAAACATCATTGATCAGCTGCTTCCTGGATGCCCCACACTGGAGATCGAGCCCCCTGCTGGAACATGTGATCTGGCCAGGAATCGAACTGTGACCTCGTGGTTCATAGATCAACAGGTAACCACTGAGCACACCGGCAGGGCAACTATCACAGATTATTAATTCAAACAGAAGGAAGGTTCAGAAGGGTGTGGAAAATGCCAGGCTGGTTCATGAGAATGGTCCCTCCCAGTTTTGGCTCTTAAGTTGGAATTGGGGGAGTGGGGGTGCAGAGGCTGGCCACCCGCTGTCTCTGACTGCCTCTGGATAAACGAACTGGATTGGCCATGATCCGTGACTTTACCTGGAGTCTTCACGAACTGCTTCTTCTGGCCTGTCAAAAAGCAAGTGCAGATTTGGATGGCAGGGAACAAAGTTGACGAGGAGGCTGAACACTGCATGAAGAGAGGACCAAGCCAATGAGAGAACAACGGCAGCAACAGAAAACCAAACAAACCCTGCCACAGACCTGATGGGGGATGAGTCGCTGGACGTGGATGAGGTGGGCATAGGGCTGGATGGCGCCGAGAACATGGGCCAAGATGGCGAGAGGGGTGAAGTTGGGCTTGGATTCGGGGGGCTGCAAGACATAACAACCAGAAAACTCATCAGCACACAGGGAAACCACAGTGGGAGCACAGGAGGTCCATGGAAGGCCACATGACGGGGAGCTGGAGCAACTAGAGAAGCACTGAACCCAGACATGTCATCAGTGCCAGTCAGTTCTTCCAGCTAAAGCTTGTCCGGTAATCCTGGGAGCATTACCGTGCCTCCTTGCCCTGCATGATAGCTGCTTTCTCGTGACAGGAGCTTCACCAGTTGTGTCCATTGTGCCTTTGTCCATAGGTGATAAATGCTCTGAACCCACATATGGGAGTTCCCACATCCATACCCTATTCCAGGCCTATGTCTGGGGCAGGGCTAGCTTATAATCAGCCTTCAGCTTCCCCTACTGCATGAGTGTTTTTAAAGTCGTGTCTCAGCAAAAATGACCATTTTTTCCAGGCCACACAGGCTATTGAGCCAGAAAACAATTTCCTGTTTACATTTTTAACTAAATGGGCTGCCTGCCATTTGGAGACCCGGAGAAGTACCGTGTTTGAAAAATGGCACTGGTTAGAGGATGTGTCTGGAAAGGACACACACCTTATAGTTATGGGCAGTGAGCTGTTTCTCTGAGGTTTGCTTTCCAGGTCTGCTCTTTCTCTTTTCATAGGTTCTGGGCATTTTGATGCTCAAAGAAAAATGCCAGAGGGGAGGCAGTAAAAAAAAAAAAAAAAGAGGAATGGAAACCTCAAATCTGTCATCTTGTTCTTTGGTGTCTGGCTGATCAAAAGTTTGGAGAGGAAAGGTTGAAATTACTCACTAAAATATGGTTTGATTTTAATTGGTCATGCTAGTCCTTTGTCTTCTTTCCACAAACAAACAAACAAACAAACAAACAAACAAACATTTCAGCAACTCTGTAAAACTGCATGCAATCCCAGATAGTGCGAACACCAATGACTGAGAAAACAATGTGGGGACCACCTGGACACACCACCACCTGCAGCCCCTGGACCTCAGCCAATGCTGGACTGTTTGGTTCAAGCACTTTGTAGAGCAAAAATGACAGCACTCTCATGTAGGGAACAGACTTTCTCAACACAGTGGGGATTAGCAAGAACATATAAATATACTACTTAATGGGACATACCCAATTCCGACAGGAGACTTAATTATGGCTCTAATTACCTGGAGTTGCAACATAAATTCCTATGGCAATATGCAGTAAAAACCCATTGTGTGAGTTCATCAGATAGCCTCATACTAAATGAATGAAACATTATGAAATGCTATCATGTGTATTACATTTCTAGAATATAAATGCTACGAGGTGGGGATTTTTGTCCATTTTGTTTACAGCTGTATCTCCAGAGTCTAAAATAGTGCCTGAAGTATTCAATAAATAATTACTAAGTGAATTAGTGAATCTTGGTTAGCCCACCCAACAAGTCAAAAGGCACTACTGTAATTCATGCTACATAGTTGTGGAAACCTGGGCCATTTTGAGGCTTGTCTGAAGATGCTTAGCCTGTTAAGTTATGAGAGGTTCATACCCTAATGCCTGACTCCAAGCCTCTGGTATAACAAGACTCGCTCCATTCCTCGATGCTATGCCAAGTGTCTTCACAGACTCAGCCATAGAACTAGAAGCCTTTTGAATCACTGATTTATGACTTTCCGTTAGATGCCAACCATATTTGCAAGGGAAATTGGGAATGCAGTAACAGACTCAATAAGACTCAACAAATTGTAATTCCAACAAAATCCCCAATCCTGCCTCCAGACTTCTGTCTGCTAGATTCATCCAGCAGATGGAATCCATAAAATGTAAGAGATTAAAGTAGAAGAGGATGCCCTTTTCTCCCATTAATTCAGCAAAGACTAGTTAGGGAAAATTTAGTATGATCAAGACAAAAAAGTGGAATACGAGTTAGTATTTGCCAAGGTTTCTAACTTCAAGAGCTTATGATGTATTTGACAAGATGCACAGATTTAAAAACAACTGCAGGTGCTAAAATCCTCAACAAAATATTAGCAAACGGATCCAGCAATACATTAAAAACAAACAAACAAACAAACAAAAAAACCCAAACATACACCATGATCAAGTGGAATTCATTCCTGCGATGCAAGGCTGGTTCAACAGCTGCAAATCAATAAATGTGATACACCACACAAACAAAATGAAGAATAAAAACCAATGATCATATTGGCAGATGTAGAAATAACACCTGATAAAACTCAGAACCCATTTATTATAAAAACTCGCAGCAAAGAGGTAATAGAAGGAACATATCTCAACATAATAAAGGTTATATATGACAAACCCACAGCCAACATCATACACAATTGGTAAATACTATAAGCATTTCCCTTAAGACCAGGAACAAGATAGAGATGTCCTCTTTACTACTCTTATCCAACATAGTATGGAAGTCCTAGCCACAGCAGACAAGAAGAAATAAAAGGCATCCAAATTGTAAAGGAAGAAGTAAAACTATCATTATTTGCAGATGGTATGATACTGTATATAGAGAGCCCTAAAGATCATCAAGAAATTACTAGTACTGATCATTGAATTCAATAAAGTAGCAGAATACTAAATAAATATCCAGAAACCAGTTGCATTTTTATATACTAAAAACAAGCTATCAGAAAGGGTAACTAAGAAAACAATCCCATTTACAGTTGCATCAGAAAATAAAATACTTAGAATAAATTTAACTAAGGATGTAAAAGACATGTACTTGGAAAATTATAATGAAGAAAGGCAAGATGCTACAAACAAGTAAAGCATATACCACTTCATGGGTAGGAAGATGTAATATCATTAAAATGTCCACATTACTTAAAGCAATAAAGTATAGATTCAATGCAATTCCTATCAAAATACCAATGACATATTTCACAGAACTAAAACAAATATTCCAAAAATTTATATAGAACCACAAAACACCTCTAATAGCACAGCATTCTTGAGAAGAACGAAGTTGGAGGAATCACACTATCTGATATCAAACCATACTACAAGGCCATAGTAATCAAAACAGCATAAAACAGTAGATCAATGGAACAGAACAGAGAATCCAGAAATGAACCCACACCTATATGGTCAATTAATATTTGACAAAGGAGATAAAACATAAAATGTACAATGGAATAAAGATAGTATATTCAATAAATGGTGTTGGAGAAATTGGACAGATATGTGCAAAAAGTGAATATATATCACCTTCTTAGACCATACACAAGAATAAACTCAAAATGGATTAAATATTTAAACATTAGACTCGAAACCATAAAAATCCCAGAAGTAAACATAAGTAGTAAAATCTTGTATATTTTTTGTAGCAATATTTTTTCCTAATATATACCCTCAGGAAAGAGAAACAACAACAACAAAAATAAACAAATAAAATTATATCAAACTAAAAAGGTTTTGCACAGCAAAGAAAACCATAAACAAAATCAAAAGACAGGCCACTAAATAGGAGGACATATTCGCCAATGTTACATCTGCTAAGGGGTTAATATCCAAAATTTATAAAGAACTTATACAACTCAACAGAAAATAAGCAAACAACCCAGTTAAAAAATAGGCAAAGGACCTGAACAGACACCTATCCAAAGAGGACGTACAGATGTCAATAGATAAGATGTTCAACATCACTAATCATCAGAGAAATGCAAATTAAACCACAATGAGACATCAAAGAGCTATCACCTCACACCATTAGAAAGGCTATCATCAATAAGTCCACAAAAAAGTGTTGGCAAGATGTAGACCCTAGCCGAGACTGGTTTGGCTCAGTGGATAGAGCGTCGGCCTGTGGACTGAAAGGTCCCGGGTTCGATTCCGGTCAAGGGCATGTACCTTGGTTGTGGGCACATCCCTAGTAGGGGGTGTGCAAGAGGCAACTGATTGATGATTCTTTCTCATTGATGTTTCTAACTCTCTATCCCTCTCTCTTCCTCTCTCTGTGAAAAATCAATAAAATATATTTAAAAAAAAAAAGATGTAGACCCTTGTGCACTGCTGGTGGGAATGCAGATTGATGCAGCCACTATGAAAAGTAGTATGAAGTTATCTTAAAAAATTAAAAACAAAACTGGGAATATCTCCAAAAAGCTGGGAAACTAATTCAAAAGATTATAGGCATCCTATGTTTATTGCAGCATTATTTTCAATAGGCAAGATTTGGAAGTAGCCCAAGTGACCATCAGTAGATTAGTGAATTAAAAAGCTGTGGCATTTACACAATGGAATACTGTTTGGTTAAGAAAAGGAGGAGGAGGAGGAAGAGGAGGAGGAGGAGGAGGAGGAGGAGGAGGAGGAGGAGGAGGAGGAGGAGGAGGAGGAGAGATCAAGCAAAAACAAACAAACAACTCATAGATACAGACAATAGCATGGTGAGTACCAGAGGGAAAGGGGGTGGGAAGAGGGTATGGGGGGATAAGTGGTTATAGCAGGAGACTTGGCTGCTAGTGGTGAGCACACAATACAATACACAGATGATGTACTATGGAATTGTACACCTGAACCTGTATACTTTTGTGAACCAATGTCAACCCAATACATTCAACTTAAAATAAATAAAACCACCCCTCTTTTAGAAAACAAACAGAAATAACACACAGAAAAAAACAAAAACTGTTGTATAGGATAGTGGATTCATTGCTCTATTATTAATACCTGCTCCCACTTGACCTAGTCTCTAGTCCTAGGAGAAAGTGCAGCCTCATTTCTATGTGCAGTCCTCAGTTTCTTCCATGGCTGCCGCTGGTAAGAAAGGCATAACTTTCTCAGTCCTGTCACCACAACCCACCTCACTAGATAATGACCCAGCAGGCATTAATGACCTGGTGATGACTTCCCAACTGCAGCCTAGCCCAGGAACCTTAGTACTGATCAGGACAAACTTGGAGGGTCAAGAGTGCAGCCCAGGCCCAGAGGCCGGGACTCATCTGGTCCTCTGGGCAGTGGTCAACATAGGACAATTAAAAAGTCCTTAGGACTGTTTTTGAGAAATGTTT